CATGGTTGAATGAATGTTAATCAATCAAAACAACAAACACATAGTGTGTGTGTGCCAACAAATGCAAGTGTATACGATAAACAATAAATAATACAAGCAATTTGTTGACGCAAAAAACCTTCAGAAAAATCTGCAGGTAACCTTCTTGGTTCACTAAAGTTTAATCCAGTATTCTCCAAGTTAACATACAAGTACTCGAAACTTATAGTTCAATCAATACCATAGTTAGATGCTCATTTCCTTGTTGTGTCTTTTCATCGAAATTCCCTCTTTGACGTTTGGTGTACCTTCACTTGGGCCTCCCGCTGCACTGTTCGTTGAGGCCTCAAGCGATTATGGGCACACTAACAATCTTTGGTATGCAGACGCCAATGGGTTTGTCAACCTACAAGTTCTTCTTCTCCAAGTTGTGAAGCTGGGTAGAATCACTTGAAGTAGTCTTTCGATCTTAGGGATTTAGGTTTTGATGGAAGCTCTCAAAATAAAGGAATACATTTCTCTCTTTGAAAGGCTTTAGAGACTTAACCTAGATGTGGAAAATACGCTTCGTATATTTAGGTTCGGAATAAGGATAGTCTTAGTAAATAAGAAAACTCAAATTTGTGAACAATTATTCGATCGGTGGGAAGACGGTCATTAGGTGGTTGTCGCTCGAGTGTAAGCAATGCTTCAAACACGACTAAGGTAGTCACTATTTGAGCGACCATGGGTACCACTCGAGTGAGCCTTGTGTTGCTCGTGACCTTTTTTCATTTCTTTCTCTAAGCCATAAAGAGACCGCTCTAGCGAATATAGATCGATCTCTACAGGTTTTTAAGTATAAAATCATGCAAAAATTTGTCCTCTTGAGGACTAAAGGGTGTGGCTCGAAGAATGTTCAATTGTGGCTCATACTATGTTTTCAAAACACATAAATGTTTTAGAAAAACTTTTCTTTTAAAATCTTCTAACAGTTATAACCGGATTGCTTCCAATTCCATTTTCATCCTAATCATTCTAAGTTAAATTAACTAAAGGTTAATCTTAGGTGTTTAAGTCATTACCTTTGTCCTAAGCATGAAGGTGCATGCGAAGGTTGAATGATATAGTTTTGAATTTGATCTCCTCCCTTCAAAGATGCTTTCGGATCTTGAATTTGATAGCATCAGACTATGAAATAGGTTGAGATTTTACAATGGACTCTACGAAGCTAGCCAATTAGATATATGATCTAACATTTTGCTTCCATAACAAATTTCAAAAAATTCTAATTCACATGGTTGTATGCTTTTTCAAAATCAATTTTCAGAACAATGCCCTCTTTACCTCTAACTCTATAATCCTCAATTACCTTATTATTGACTACGCAAGTCACATGCATAGTCTATCTCCCTTTAACAAAAGCTCATTTAGACCTTGAGATAGTTTCACCCTAACACTTTTTTAGCCTAACTGTGAGGACCTTAGCAATAATCTTATACAAGCTAGTATCTAAAATTCTTCAATTTCAATTATTTATCTTTTTCGGAATTGAAAAGATAAATGTGGCATTTGTAACATCATTTCATCTATAGGATTCCATTGAAGCCACCTCAAAGAAGGTCTACACCTATAATTGGCAGAATATAACTTAGCAAAGAAATAAAAAACCTCCATCTCTATCAAATCCTCACTTAGTAATCATGCCATCGCCTTTTTCCAACTTATCAATGAATTTCCTTAACCTTTTGCCATTTGCCACTTTATGGAAAAATTTAGAATTGTTATCACCTCCTTCACCCACCAGACTCTATATTTTTTTCTCACACTAATTTCCTCCTTAGACACAACCTCCTCTAACTTATTCCTAAGATCCCTTATTTCCTTTCCCAAATCATCATCCACATCTCCACCTTCGTCTCTCTTATCAATCTCATCAATCCTATTGAAAATAATCTTTTTTGCCTTTCTAGCATCCCTAAACTCCTCTTTGTTCCATGTTTTTAATTTGTTTAACAAACTCCAATTTCTTCTTAAACTTATAACCCTCCCATCCTTGAAACTCACCTTTCGACCACCATTTTCTAATCCTTCCCTGAAAATCTTTATGCTCTACCCACATGTTTTCAAATTTGAATGGACAAGAACCCCACTTTAGCTTAGAATCATCAAGAACAATGTGACAATGATCTATGGTTGTTTAACCCTTGGAAAACAATCCTCCCACCCAACATAATACAAAAACCAATCCAATCTTTTACAAATTAACACACGTCTAAAATTGGACCATGTGAACATACCATTTGCCAAAGGAGGATCTCTAAGTTTTATTTCCCTAATGAATAAATCAAAATCTCTCATATTTTTTATTATTCTTCCCCCACTCAAATTCTCTGCCGGATACCTAATGACATTAAAATTCCCCCCAATACACCATGGTGAGCCAAAAACCCCAAACAAACCAGCTAAGTCCTCCCAAAACTTAATTCTAAACCTATGTTTGTTAGGCCCATACATCCCAGTCAACCACCAGTCATACATATTCCTATGTCTAATTTTCCCAGAAATTGTAAATTCACCCTAAGTGGAGTCTTATACTTGGATAACCTTGTCATCCCACATAATGACTACCCCACCTGACGTCCCCATAGAATGTAGGAACACCCAATTCCTAAACCTACACCCCCCAACACTTTTAACTATACTTCTATCAATAACTTTCATTTTAGACTCATGTAAAATAACAATTTACGGACTCCCTTCATTCAGAAAAATCCTTGTTTGATACCCTCTTTCTCCAAGACCCCAAACCTTTATCATCCAATTGACCATTTCATAACAAACTATTGCTCCCTCCCCTATACTCCCCCCCCCCCCCACTCACACACACACAAAAAAAAAAAGTCATAATTGATCCCTGATTGCAGATTTTTGAACTCTCTAGCTCCCCTCCTCTTCCTCTTTTTTTCTTATTTTTCTTTTTAGCAAGAATTAGTGTTAAATCCATCTTCTCCAAAGAAACGTTTAAGAATAATCCATTTTTCTTCATCAGACACAAACACATCAGTAAACTCATTACTATCCCCACCTATCCCTCATATATTCTGTCCCCTTCTCTCATCACCATAACAAACAATGGCCCTAGAAGAATCAGCATTTAAGGTCCCAAAGTCAAGATTACTTATGGCTAAGCTATTATTAGTACTCAAATTTTGATCAGAGTTACTACTGGTGCAACGCCTAAGGAGGCTGATATTGAAACTTTTCGAAAATCCATATCACCCATTTGATCAGAAACACCCCAAGCCCTCCCAGTCAAATCCAGTTCATCAGACATCCCATATACCATCCCATTCCCCCACCCAAAAACACCCTGAACTAACTCGGTATTAAAAATCACTTCTCCCCCCCCCCCCCCCCCCCCCAAAAAAAAAGTAAAGAAAAGTCCACATCAGACAAAGAAGGACCCTTCCAAAATGAAATAGAAGAAGATTTAGATTTACCTTGCTCCTCCAAAGTGCAAAGAGGTGCATGAACAATCCAATCACCAGTTTGCTTATCACTCATTTTTGCTTCTACACCAACGTCCACGTCATGATTTGTTTTCCTGATTCCTCTCCGCTATCTCGTTGTAGTAGCGAATTAGTAGAACTGCTTCTACCATTATCACTTTTGTTCAATTGTAGCAAAGCATTACGAGTATCACAGTAACGTTCTTCAATCTTCGAAATCAGTTGCCTCTGCGCTTCATCATTTCGAAGCCCAGCCCCACATCCATATCCGAACTCACCTTCCTCTATAAAACTCCTTTGACTTGCAATTCATTCAGTATCGGACTCCTTAAACCCTTCAACGATCACCCTTGCTAGCTCTGCTCGACTTTTGTTGTAAAAATCTCCGACATAAATATGGTTACCATCAACAATATGGTTTTCAACCATTTGAACACAATAAAATTTCTTGGGCTATTGAGATGTGAACATGTTTTATAAAGGTACAACATATTTAATTCTCATGTGGCTATCATTTTCCTAGTTGCCGACATGCCATCATAGGATTAATTGGTTGCGACAAATGCATTCTATAGGTGGAGTTGTACTCTGGGCACTGGTTGGGAGATATTTGAATTTCGCATCCTACTTACCTTTTGGCATCAGGATTCCTCAATTAGCTGATAAAGAAGCTTAACATCGGGTAAGAGTGGCAATGACTTTGTCATGTACCGGAGGCCATTATTATCCTCTTTGACTTTTTAGGTTGGGTAGTTTTTTTGGTTATTTTTTGGGCTTTGGTTTCTTTAGAATTTCTCAACCGGTATGCATCTTACATATTGTTTTTGTTTCAGTGAAATTTTTTGCTTTTTATATCTCCTGCCAAAAAACAAAATAAAAGACAACACAGACACACACACACACACACACACACAACTCCAATAATGGGGATTGCTTCTCCTTTTAATAAGAGTACTGCACATATTTTTCATTTTTAAAACAATGTGGATCCACCTTATGAAATTTATTTGATTGGCTAAATATTGTAATCAGGTTTGTTTTTTGGGTTTCTTGTATAGATTACCCACAAAATCTTTAGTTTTGACATTGGTTAATCTTTTACGCATGCCGGAAGAAAATAGACTAGGAACTATGATAATTCTCCAGTTCAAACATGCATTTTTTGTTAGACATGAGACAATATATGGTGGGTCCCAAACATTCTTCATGCCTTTTTGTTTTCTCCAAAGATTTAATCTCCTTAATTTAATTGCGGTGTATTCCCTAGGATGCCCGAGAGAGAATGCTTGTGATCAAATGCAGTGTACCTACTGAAAAGAAAAAAGGAAATACAAAAAGAAAAAGAAAATCACAAACTAATTGAGTAGTATAGTTTAAATTGCTTTGATTTGCAATCAGATAGTAACGCTGCTGGATTCTACTTAAAAATATTTTCAGATAGAGTGGTACAATAGATGTCTAGATGCGCTAAATAATGTTGAGAGACTATATCAAGGGAAGGACTCAGTCGATATCATCCAGAGCAAAGTTATGCAGGTATATATTCTTGTTTCTCATGTCACTTTGTTCAGACACCAAGAATAAAGTGTCAACAACCTCAAGCTCTGAGGAGTTTCTCCAATAGTTTTGCAAACAAAGTTCTAATTTTTTTAATCTTTTTTGTGTTTGAACAAAGTTGTTGAATGGGAAGAACGATGATATGAAGCTTCTTTTGGAGAAGGATTTAAAATCTGGTGATCTCAGTGGTCTTCATACAGAATGTCTCACAGATACATGGATTGGAAAGGACAGGTTAATCCCTCCTCCCTCATTCCCTCCTTCCTTTCCTTCCTCCCTCTGAATATTAACTTGATGCATTTTGTATCAGGTGGGCATTCATTGATTTAAGTGCAGGTCCTTTCTCGTGGGGGCCTGCTGTGGGGGGAGAAGGAGTGCGCACAGAATTAAGTTTACCAAACGTTGAAAAAACTATTGGTGCTGTTGCAGGTAGTAGATGATCAAAGCAATATTCGTTCACTTTGTTAGTATGCACATACTTGCATTTTTATATTGCTGCGCTGCGATTGACACTTGAACTATTAATAGCAAGAGTGTCTGAAGAGTACTGCAACATTTCTAGCGTCCATATATGCTATACAGGCTATTTGTTCCTTCTTATATTCAAATATTCATTATGTTGAATTTTTCGTGGGTGGATTGCTCATTGTGAAGAAGTAAATGCATAATCCTTTAATCCTTAATGGATCAGAATTTTGGTTTTGCAAAATTATCACGTTTCCTGTGTTAGTCTTATTTATGGGCCATGCACTACTGATCTTGAAGTCATATTTGCAGTGCTGAACTATCTCTTCAAGTTTTCTATTTTTACTTCTCATTATTAAGCTCTGCTTTCTCTGTTACATCCAGAGATTTCAGAAGATGAAGCTGAAGAACGCCTGCAAGATGCTATGCAACAGAAGTTTGCTGTATTTGGTGATGTATGCTCTAAAGAGAACTAAGGAGAAAGTTAGAATTGGTTTAATATCTCCGATTTTCTTGTGCTTCATGTTTTTCGTGTAAAGCAACTTTGCATGTAAAATTGAGGATGATGCTTGAACTCAAAGCTGAATTTTTCCTTATTTGGTGGTTAAGAAGCACGGACATGGACACGGGCATGCCGACACGAAATTTTTCAAAAAAGTAGGACACGGATACGTTGGCGATACGTTAAATAATATGTATTTATATATATATAATCATGCGACAAAATAAAAATAGTTTCTAATTTTCATTAATTTTCAAGTGCGCCAATTTGTAATCCCATTTTTTTCACATTTATTTCATATTAAAAGTTTATTCCATTTGTATATAAGTTCGTATTTGTATTCAAAATTATGTTACATTCATGTCTTGTACTCAATGTAATGATTATAACTTCTTTTATATTATAATTATGACTCATATTCTTTTAAAATTACAAAAATAACTCTAAATTAAAAAATTATATGAAAAATTCTCAAAACAATTAAAAATAAATCTCAAAACGTGTTCTTAGCGTGTCGGTTGAGTATCCCCAACGTGACCTGAGCTTGTCGGCGTGTGTCCCAACGTGTCTTGAAAAAAATTTATTAAAAAAAAAAATTGGACACTCATTTTAATGTGTCCAACACCGACACTTCGCCCAAAATGAAGTGTCTGTGCTTCCTAGTTTGGTGGTAATAAAAATAAAAAAAGGCAACTTGTTTTGTACTTTGTTGGTGAAGTTTTTAATGGTCTGGAAAAAAATTCACAAAAAATACAACAAAAAATGGTTGGTTTAGTTTTCATGATCCAATTTCAAAGATGGTTTTATGGTTATACATTGTCCTAATTGTGAATTGAATATACTACTTTTATTGAGAGGAATGAGGAAGAGGTTGGGGGTGGGGAGAGATCTGAATGGTATGCAATTTCCATGTTGTCTACATTGATATGATTGGAAAGAGGAACTATTTGCCCCCATTCCATTTGTTCTTTTTCCCCTAGTGGAATCGGGGAGGGTGTGGAGCAGATAGATTTCAGTGAATGTAGAGGCTCATACTCAAAACAACCCTGGTGTGCTTTCCTTTTGACCACGTGACATGGAAAGTGGTGCTTGGGCGTTGGGAATTTGGTGCATTGTTGTCAAAGAATGAGCAGCATGAGTTGGGTACTTTGCCATGTGCTTATTTGTCAGCTAAAGCCATGATTAAGGGTGCTGTGAGGCAGATTGTGATCCAAACCACAAGGGTGTGTCCAATTGACATGGGATGCTTGTTGGCCAACCAAATCCTAGTATGGTTGCCTTGGCATGAGTTGCTTATTGTTTAATTGCTGGCATGATATTGACTGCTGTGAGGTATGCCTACAATAGATAGAATAGAGAAAGGTATATCTAATTGGAATGGAATGCTTGTTTTTTTAGTCAAATTGTAGCGTGGACTGTTTGGTAGATTATTCAATGAGCCTGGCAGTATCATGTTGTGGTGTGGCTCTCTATGACTGGCTTCACATTGAGTGGTGAGCAGAATTTGTTATTGAGACTGGCATGGATGCAATGATCACTTAGTATGCTTGTACATAAGTGAGTGATGCTCCCAGTTATTTGAGCATTATTTATCATTGCTTGGCAACTGGTATAGGAGCTCTCAAACCAAGATTATAATTTGTCGACAGAGACAATAAGGGAGTTTTCTCGTCAAATGGCATATGTGGCCTTTAAACACATACTGGATGTGTGTATTACTTGGGTTCTCTAGGCTAGCTACCACTTTGGTGAAATATTATTTCATTATTGGTTTTTGACATGGGTCTGGCGTTCTAGAATCATTGAAATAGTTTCCTTGCAATTTGGGCCCTGATTAAGAGTGTAAGGTGGTGAACCTCCAGTAGCATGAGGTGGTACCTTAGTGAAGAAACTGAGTGGTTTTGGAAGTGATGATCTAGAGCTTGTAATACTCATTTTGTGCCATGGAAGGGGCATGTGAATGCTTAGAGATGGAAAGATATGGTGATAGAATTTCTTGGCCAATGGTTCATCCATTATTGTACATTAAGGGAGAGTGGAAGTTTGTCTCTCGTCGTTTCCCCCTTACAACGACCCACTCATTGACTTAAGATTTGCACCCACACAAATACACAGTTAATCACCCATCATGAAATTCTTTCTTTGTCAATCTATGTTTGTCTAGTTACCTATTATCTTTCCCATATCTCAGAGGAAAAACTAATTAAAAATATGGAAAAATCTAAGGAATTATCTTGTTATAGATGATGAGCCTATTTGGCACACAGCATGTCTGCCCTGATTTTTAGTTTAATAAATTCTGGATGCTTGATACAGGTTTTTACCATTTGGAGTTTGCTTTGAGGCTTGTTAATTATAATTGATGAAGTAATGCTTCATCTTCTACTTTGTTTTCCAATTCTCATAATAAATTCATGTAGAGCGGATCATCTTAAATTAATTTCATCCATGTTGAAGAGAAACCTGGAGTTAAATTTATAGGTTTCATGTAACATTGACAGGTACAGTTGTGTTCTTTAGGATCTAGGAATGTCTTGGTAGACCAATACGGTTCACTTTCTTCTTATCATCAGAATTTGAGCTTCAGTTATTCAGGAACTAGGTTTCTGTTCTTAGTTTGGAGAATTATGCCAGAGACATTAGTTTGGCCAGCCCATATTCGCCAGAGCAATTATCCCTCCAAATGCATTATTCTGCTACCTCATTTGGAGGGATAATTGCTACAGTAGAAAATTGTATATGTTTAGATGGATTAAAAATTAAGGTAGAAGAAAAATGTTTCTTATCGTTTTCTTATGTATCTTGTTTTTTCTTTTGTTTGTATGCATGCGTGTGAACAAGGCGGTCTCTGTTATTCCCTGTATTTAACTGTTATGGTGCATTTAAATGTTCCAGAAGGATCACCAGGCAATTGATATCCTCTTAGCGGAGATTGATATATATGAGCTTTTTGCTTTCAAACACTGCAAAGGAAGGAAGGTTAAGCTTGCTCTTTGTGAAGGTAATCTTCTTATTTTTGACGATTCATTCTTAGTTTGTTAGGAAACTCTCACTCTCTCTCTCTATTGCCCAAAGTTGTTTAGTTTTTGTACTGGGTGAACATTCGTTAGTTCTGAAGGATAAACCTGTTCGATGCTTTGTTGTAAGACTTAATTTGCTCACAGTGAAGTATGTTTTCCAATGCTTCGTTAATTTGTCTAATTAGTTCATATTGAACCCTTTTATTGTGCACAGTTTTTGTTGTAATCTAAAATTTGTTTATGCATAACTTTCAATTTCTTATGAGAAACCTGGCTTGTGAATTTAATTCCAGAGCTTGACGAGAGAATGCGAGATTTAAAAACTGAGCTCCAGTCATTTGAAGGTGAGGATGATGAAAGCCATAGGAGAACGGCTTTAGAGGCATTGAAACGAATGGAGAATTGGAATTTGTTTAGTGATACTAATGAGGTATACTTTTTTGCTTATAACATCTGTTCTGTAAATCTCATCCATTTGGTAAATAGTGTTGAGTTGTATCTCTTTTCCAGCAGAATGAATTGGTTAAACATGACACAATTTTTGTCCTGCAGGACTTCCAAAACTACACAGTGGCACGTGATACTTTCCTTGCCCACTTAGGTGCGACATTGTGGGGATCAATGAGACACATTATATCGCCTTCCCTTGCCGATGGGGCATTCCACTATTATGAGAAAATATCCTTTCAGTTGTTTTTTATTACCCAGGAGGTATGATTTTTGTTCACAAGCTTAAAGCTTTTCACCGCAACAGAGAAAATATCTTACCTTTAAATTTATTTATACAGAAAGCCAGACAGATTAAACTTCTACCTGTGGATCTCAAGGCTCTCAAGGATGGGCTTTACTCTTTGGCATTACCTTCTCAGAAAGTGATGATCAGTCAACGCATGTATGTCTGTTGCTTACTCTTTTTAATGACTAGTATACTCCCAATTTTTAGACTTTTTTCGAGTATGCATTAGGTGACTTGGTAAACCTACGTATCATTCTGTGAACAAGGCTCTAACATGTTTATTTTTTTATTGTTTAATTTCTAATGAGTTCTCCAGTGATTAGGTACTGAGATGGTTTCCTTTATATAAATATACCTGGTTCTTAATTATATTGTTTGTTTATTGTTTTAGGTTACCACTTTCAGAGGATCCTGCTTTGGCAATGGCTTTTTCAGTGGCTAGGAGAGCAGCAGCAGTCCCACTATTACTTGTTAATGGAACATATAGAAAAACTGTTCGTTCGTATCTCGATTCTTCCATTCTCCAGCATCAGTTGCAGAGGATGAATGATCATGTTTCTCTTAAAGGTTCTCTAGTGCATTTAAAGATACAATCTTTGTTTTGTTGTCTTCCCCAAGTTATGAAAGAGCTTTTCTTTTTTTCTTTCTTGTGATTTTTGTGGGGGTTCTCACCACATTTGTTCTGGACCTCTGGTGTAACTGTTTCAAACGCAATCTTGAACCTATGTCATTGATGGACAAGAATACAACTAGCATGCTTTATTTTGTAGCGTATCATCAATTTGCAATCCGATTAGTTTACAATTGACTTGCTTGGTTTCATAGTCTGTGGTGTTCTAATAAATTATACTGGAAGGTTAAGAGATATGCTGTAAAATGCGCTTTCACGTCTGCAGTGGCTAATGTTCTCTATACAGTTAAAATCTAATTTATCCAAGGCTTTTTGGGAAATCTTTTGAAAAGATGTTAGTATTATACTGCATGGCCTACTTGCTTATGCAAAAATGAGTGGCATTCATGTTATACTATATGCTCACCAGTGTGGCCTACCCATCTTATACTTTATATGCTTACGCTAAAATGAGTGGCATTCAATTTGAGTAAAGAATCTGTATTATTGTGGGAACCCTGGTTGGTCTAATATTGAGACTGGATAAGATTCTTGTCAAAGCCATCTGAGTTGTTGAAGTCATGATATACAGTTGGATTTACACCATCTACCAAATTTGAAAAAATAGTGATCCATATGATTTGGATACTTGTGTACTGGGATTTGTTACTGTTTTTCTGATATGCAGGGACACATGCCCATAGCAGGTCGGTTCTGGAGATCCCTATCTTTTGGTTTATTCATGGGGATCCATTATTTGTTGACAAGCATTATCAGGCAAAGGCGCTCTCTGATATGGTTATTGTTGTCCAGTCAGAGTCACCATCCTGGGAGAGCCATCTGCAGTGCAATGGCCGGTCGCTTTTGTGGGACTTGAGGTTGAAAATTCAAGAATTTAATGATGATTTTTCTATGTGGACTCTTGGAATTTATCTTTAAACTAAATGTGATTAAGTTGTAGCACAATCCAATGAGGTTAAGCTTGTAGCTTTGGAATGATTAATAATATGGTACAGGTAACAAGTTTATGGAAGTAAATGAGAAAATTCACCTGCGAAAGTCATTTTAGTGGTGCTATAAAGTTATACATATACTGGAGTGTCAGTTGACTAGCTGTGCAAGTTTAGGGAGTAATGAACATCCCCTGCCAATTTCAATTATATGTTCAGTTAGTCATTTTTTTCACCAATATACTAGATGGTCTGCTTCATGCTGTAGATTGGAATCAACAGCTCACACTTTTGAGGCTATATGCAGGATATATGATAAAAACTGAATTTTGAAATGAGGTGTTGAAACTTATGAAATTGTCGCAAATTATATAATCTAGCATATTAGATGATCTCCACTTTTTTTTAGCACTACTGCATAGTCAGGCTAATATAAATTCTCCTTGCTATGCACAAAGTTTTGAAAGACTTGGTTTTTTTTGGGGTATGTAATGTGAGATACTTAGTGACGTAATCTTGGTGCTTAAATTTACCTATAATATACAGATGAACTTGAATCTTGTACACTGGGGTTAATAGTATGGTGAATTCTAATGTGAATTTTTGGGCGGAAAATATTTTCATGATTGATTGTGATAAGAATTGAGACACATAAGCTCACCCCTCTCTTTTAGATGTCATGCCACTCTGCTACAATGGAAGTTTAGGTGCAAATGCTATGTTGTGTTTTGGCCTATGAAATATCATTTTGTTTAATTAAGTCATGTTTGTCCACTTGACCTTAAATTTTTATCCCCCAAACATGTTTGAATGAAGCATCCACAAGAAGATGCTATTTTACTGGGAGAGGGAAAAGGTGGTTTTGAGATATTATATTCTTGCTTGTAGTTATTAGGCAAGATCTTAGATTGTTTATATCTTATGAAGAACATTAGCAGTAATGACACTCAAATTTTTTTTAAACTGGTTATTCGCAGGAGGCCCATCAAAGCTGCATTAGCTGCTGTCTCTGAACATCTAGCAGGATTGCTACCCCTCCATCTTGTTTATAGTCAAGCCCATGAAACTGCAATTGAGGTAGTGTGTATTTTTTTTGTTATTGGTTTGTTATCTTAACTCACACAATGATGTGTTAAAGTTGGTGCATCTTGTGTTGCTTTTCATATGTTTACATCTTGAAGTATTTCCTAATGTGTGTTTGAGTTTCCAAATGATATCAAATCAGGTGATGCATTACACTCTACTTTCTTTTTGCTTTGATGAAGTGGTCTATATTCAGTTTAATTGTTTACAGAATCTTATTGTTTCCATTATATTTTGCATTACTAATTATTTGAATTTTCAAGTATTTTTGTTTGAATATATTATTGAATCAGTAGGCAAATTGTTATAGTGGAATTTACAGGGAAACTTGTTTGTTCCAGATTGATAGGCTAAATTCTTTCAATAATTTAGTATTCATTTATTTTTGAGACGCCATTGTGATTTTGGATGTTGTTCTCGGTTGAATTCCAGCAGACTATCCTATTTTTGAGTTCTCTTTGAGTCTCTTGTTTGCAATCTCCTATTGCCAATTGAAAGTGCAAACAAGAGATTTATATATCTCACAATATATTAAAAAAGCAGCAAGAAAAGGATGACGCATATAACATATGTTTTTTTCAAATGATAGATCACACCACTAGTAGAGGTAGGCCAAAAGTAACATGTCTTCTTTTCCTATCAACTTTTGTTATTTTTCTTTAACATATCTTCTTTTCCTATCTACTTGTTATTTTTTTATCTCTTTTGTTGATAATTATAATTGTTTCTTTTTCTTTTTCTTTTGTTTTTTGTTCTTTTTCTTTTGTTTTTTGTTCTTTTGATGGTCTTTGCGGTGTGGCAAACGAGCATGCACAAGCGGGGACTTGAGAGCTAAACATGATATCTTTATGGCGAGATATCAACATGATTTACTATGGGCAAGGATTCAAAACCAAGCACAAAAGGGAATATATATTTATATGGCCTACTTTAGCCCTTGGTGAATGTTCCGTGCTTTGAAAAGCTTACATTCATATAGATATTTTAATGATTTTTTGTTTGAGACTTGATTTAGTGGATATTTGATTAAGTAGTCCCTACTTTTTTATTATTACTCTGAGTTACTTTTTTAGATCTTTTAGCATTTTGGATGGTCTAAGATTAATGGATTTGCTTTATAACATCATTTTTAAACCCGGCCCGGATATCAACTCGGTAAAGGGACTGGGTTACTGGTTCAACAGTGGGTCAATTGGTCGAAACGGTCATATAATTAATAAAAAAATAATAATTAGTAATAATATTAAAAAAAAGGCCAAAAGTATTCCACAAAGTATTAAAAAAATCAAAGAAAAACAAAGATTGGAAGAACTAAGGCAGAAGACACTTTGTACATGCTACAAAGAATCCCACGGATCACAACAATAGAAGAGGACTAGGAGCCTTATAAAGTGAGTTGCTGCCTGAGTCAAATAGTCTAGTCGTATTTCCAATACATGAGGCGTCAGTTGCGTGCCAAGTGGATTATCAGTTGAATTTTAATATTTTTTAAAGTAAAAATTTAAAGATAAAAATAGTGGTCCGGATTAGTAAAAATCTGCTGGTTTGTGACGCGTTATATATAATTCGTCCGATTCGGTCTGGTTCGAGCAAGTTTTGGCAGGTGAATTACTTGAGCGATGTAATTTGAAAACTGGCTTGGTTAAAGCACATGTTTGCCAGTTTATTGGGTCAACTCGCCGGATTGGATCAGGTTTTAAAACACTGCTTTATAAGATATAATTCGAATTGATAAATGTTTTATCTATTGCACCAGATATGCAGTCAGCATGGGTTACCTCAACTTGCTGTTTGTATATATTTCTCTTTTAGAGAAGCTAAGTCTATTTATTGGTTGAAATTACAATAGTATTTTTAGGGGCCTCATATATGTCTGTTTCTGCTTTCTGATTCTCTCCATTTCTTTATCGTGCCATGTATATATTCATTGCTCTTTTTCTTTTTACCCTTCCTGTGCCTCCTTAGCATCTGTCACAAACTTAGCTTTGGACTTGGCATATGCTGGAAAAGATTGCGCCTCTAAGTTTGGTAGAACCAGGGTTACTTGGATCGTTGGTTGGTTGGGTACGAGTACGGATGCAGGGTATGTTACTTTTTCCAGTGTGCGGTGCGGTGGGGTAGACTTAGTTAGTACGCCATTTTGGGTCGCATTCGATTTGGATTTTTATTCGGATCGTTTTCATTATTACAAAGAATTATATATAGTTATACATTGTACATATAATCAATTGCTAGTTGTTTTGAACCTATAATAGTTTGCATACTCTTATTTTATTTATATATGTATAAGCTATCATTTAATTAATATTATTTTCTATTTTCTTGTACGAGTTTCAAGGAGAATTGGAATCCACAACAACACATCAACTAATAATCGTTAATAAAAAGTGATAGTTGCCTATTTTATTACCAAAAAATAAAATCACAAAAAAGACAGAATATAAATTTAAAGACTTAAAATTTGAAAAATAACATACTAGAGAGCGATAAAATAGCTTCCATGCCTAACAAGTCTCAAATAAAAATTACTCAATAATAAAAAAAATTACGGAGCACAAGTGTTAATTGTCAATTCTTTCCCCTTTTATCTTTTGCTGTGTTCCCTCTTCTTACAATGTTGAAAATTTGAGTTTGATGCAGTCCGGAATGACGGAGTGGTGGCATGCTAGAATTAATAGGTGGCTGGTCAATGTTATGATGAGTATCTGAATCTACCCCTAAGAAGTCTTATTTGTTTCTGATGATGTGGATTGTATCTCAGTTCAATTTTGTTATAAAACTGGCTTATCTGGAAATAAAAAATAATTCATCATCATGATGACGAATGTCATCTATATTTGTATGTTTTTGTATTCATCTATTAGCTTGTGTGAATATTTAATTTTATGCTTGGTTGATTGTTTTCACATTACGAAAGTGAGTAATCTCGTTTTGTTTCAAAGTAGTGAAATCTTAAGCCTGAAGTAATTTTCTGGTGGTGAATAAGGGTATAGACAACTTTGATAGCAGAGCATACAATTTATTTAGATATGTAATAAATATCCACTATGATATTGCTTTTCCAACTTTCTACCTGGTGGATGAATAAATTTGACATTTTTGCAGGACTGGATATGGTCAGTAGGATGCAATCCACTGTCCATAACTTGTCAAGGCTGCGACATCTCACAGTTCCAGTCTGATACAATTGCTCGGAGCTATATATTAACAACACTTGAGGAGTCGACACAACTTGTCAATTCAGCTATTCATCTTCTAGTTATGGAGCATACTTGTATCCTTTTCTTGTGGTAGTCTAACACATGAATGATTAAAAGATGGATTTGTCCCAAAAACATCACCTCAAAACAAAATGAGGTGGAAGAGAACTTTGGTGGATGTAGAAACTTCATCCCAAGATATGGGCTGTCCCTTTTGATTTTTGATATAGAAATGTCGCAAAAGGACATCCATGCATTACTGCCATTAATGCTGTCTTGGTCAAAGGTGAGCGATTCTGTCAGAATGTTTGGAAGACCCCAAGAAGGGGCATGAGGGTAAGGGGGGACTTACTAAACACAAAAGGCTTAGACATGTTTAATTTTCCATCTAAAAATGTGTTAGGTTATCATGCAATGTTAGCATGGCGAAAAAGTATTTTGACCTGCCATTTATGGTCTCCCATTTGATTTATTGACTTGGAGATCTTAGCTCAACGTGATGAGTTTTAAGCATCCATACTTTTTGTGGAGGGCTGGGTCATCCAAAACTAATATTTATTTTCTGAATTTTCTAAACAAGTTGCACTATGTACAATGTTAGCATATTGAATTTGTGCGATACCTCAAAGCAATTTGTTCTTTCATTCTAATTTCCAATATGGAACAGTTTTACAATTGAGGTCCTTGTACTTGCCTTTGTGACATTATAATATGTTATCATTGAAACTTGGTGGTTGACACATTGGCAAATTAATTTTTAAACATCGAATGTGGATAGTATTTTGACAGTTTGGCCTAGGTAGTGGCTTGATTGCCCGTGGACTGCATGCACCAAATTGGTGGCCTAGATTCAATCCAGTTTCGTGTTTCACATCCTTCTAGAATAAGGAAACGTTGGAACCTGTTGCATAATATAGGCATTGAAATGTTTGATCAGATAAATTTTTGCTGATTTTTGTCTCGAGAGTTGGTGCCTAACCATTGCCAGTGAAAACTTTTGTGATGGACCCTTGACAAAAACCAGCTGAACAGACTTTCAAGATCTTCCAGGCCCAGGAGCGTGAGTTGGTGAACAAGTACAACTATGTTGTTAGCTTGTGGAGAAGAGTGAGTACTGTTCAGTTGCATCACTTTCCATGTGTACTGTTGTTTGACCTTATTTCTGCTGAAAATGGAGCGAATGTTTAAATGTCCAAAGTCGAGAGTTATATCATTTGCTTTTTTTTCCAGATTTCAACTGTCACCGGAGAACTACGCTATGTGGATGCCATGAGACTGCTAAATGCTTTAGAAGACGCATCCAAAGTGTAAGCCATTCTGCGCCTAATGACTATCTCAGGCAGTCATGGGTTATTGGAAAAGTTTTGAAAATCTCCATGTGTAGATAGTCTGTGTTCTCTATAACTCCATTTTGCAGGTTAGCCAGTGTATGGTGACCACTGAGAGTGACTCAACTGAAATTCCCTAACTAACGTATCCCTGATACTAATGCTTATTTCTTTCATTTCTTTCTTTTCTTTTTTTTTGTTTACTTTCCCATAATTCACCTTAAATTGTCATACAAAGGGGCATATTGGGGAGAAATAAGTATGTGAATTGCTGTAAGTCTGAAGTTATTTTATTTACATTTGTGTATGTGTATACCATCACGTTGACTACTGGGCATCAGGGTAAGTTGGACTCATCTTCTCTGTACATGCTTCTCATTGGTACAGACCATGGTTGTTTGTGCCAAAAAACCACCACAGTGGAGTGCAGATAAATAAAATTCTCAGGCTCTATCTTGTTAGGGGCAGTGAGATGCATCATTTGCCTGTTTTGCAGCTTTTGGCCACTCAGTAGGAATTTAGAAGTGCTGTTAGAATTTAGAAACAAGTATTTGGGCAAATGTGGATTTTTTGGTGGGTACTTTAGTTTAGGCATCAATAAGTTCTGGGTGTAAGTTCTTTAAAGTTTTGAATCTGAGCTTCATCAGAGTTTTGCATTAGTGATCTATCTGGCCCCACAAAATTTTCCGGCCAACCACTTGGTTCGGAAACTTAATCAATGAACAGTCTCTGGTTTCATTGAATGCCACAGTTTTGAAGGTGAGTCAAGCTTGGAGAGGACAACAAATGAGCGAGGAATGATTAAGGAAGTCGAGCTGATAACCAAATTAATGTGGTTTAGCAGTCTCAGGTTTCCCCATCTGTTGGGTTTATCCTATTCTAACCAGAAAAAAATAAAGTTCAGTGAGCATGTAAAGGGTGTTCAGTCTGTCTTACGGGGCTTAAGTTTTAGAAAGAAAAAAATTTTTGCTTGCGAGGAACTTACAGCTTGCTTTCTGATTCTGCTTATCTTTTGCAACATATTTGTCCCGCAGATTTGCTGATTATGTAAATGCAACTCTGGCCAGTCTCCACCCAATTCACTGCACCAGGCAGAGGAAAGTTGAGGTTGAGTTTGACATGACAACAATTCCTGCTTTCTTGGTAGTTCTTTTAGTTCTCTGGATTGTGTTGAGACCAAGACGACCGAAGCCTAAGATTAATTGAGAATATTTTTGTGGCATCCAAGGTTGTAAGGTAATGTAGTGTTGACAAGACTATAGATTTTTCTTGTATTCTATCTTAATATTTAGAGGCAGCAGCATTGTTATCTTTAATGGGATAGTTGATAGAAGAGAAAATACGAAAAGAGAAGAAGGTTACTGATCTGGCCAAAATCATCTGAGCAAATGTAGTTTCATAATTTGTATACATTTTTCTTTCTAACAGTAAATTGTAAGATTTTGCTTTTAGTCATGGTGTTTCATGTGCTTGTTTTCACATCTATTGTGGCAGTTTCGTATTCTTTGAAGCAAAAATTTTAAACCACAGATATTTAAAAACAGAGGGAATAGTTAATGATCTTTTTGTTTGATTTTATAAATGTATTACGAAATAGTATATATTCTGTGAAGCCACAATTAGTTTTATTAAGAAGTGGTAGGATGAGTAGGTTGCTGCGTCGAAAGTAAAACTCGGGCAGGGTTGCAACGGCTAATCTTTCTCCAGCCTGTTGTCTGTATACTTTCCTTCAGCTCCCGAATAGGCTCTTAGCAGCTATTTCCAAGCTTAAATTTATACTTCATTTGGTGGTGTTTTTTTAATTTTATTTTTGTCATTCTTCTTGTTTTTGAAGTAGTGTTTTTTAAAGGAGAAAGATTAGTTCACTTCCATAATTCACAGCATGCAAATCCTTCGAAGGCTACAAGAGTTCTGTTGCCATAAAAATATGTTTGGCTTCCATGAATAAAGTAGTCGCCCAACCCTTACGCAAACAGTACACAAAAGTAAATAAGAGTCGATGCTTACCTTTAATCATGCTATATAATTTTTTTTTTAATCACAGAAATACAACCAAAACTAGCAACCAGAATTAACAAAAGTGGTTACTGAACTTTGAGAAAAGCAACAATCTTAAATAGCATGAACAGTACTTATAGTAGACATCAATTAGAACGTGAACAGTAAAGTTGCAATCTCAGACTAGAAATGGAATATAAAGCAAGTAAACAATAACTAAACTACTAATAGTATAACAAGCAGATTAGATTAATCATAGAGAAAGCATAAACATGTGATTATGAATAATGTATATCAAATAAGTTGAATTGGAATGAGCTGGCCTAGAGTCCGAGAGGTGTGTGATTGTCTTAAATAGCTAAACTTCTTCACGTGAGGGTATTAATAGATATCAACTCCTTCAAGATCCAATCCAGACACTCGTAGCAACATCTCCTCAATGGTCATGTCCACTGAAAGATAAGATGAACCTGACTTGAAACGAGTTGTCCAAATATCTAAAAAAATATAGTTTACACATAAATGTATAGATTTATCGGAAAAAGTGTAGGACAATGTGAATATAAAATTGGAGGAGGAAAAATGGGCTATAGTAAAGTCTAGTGAACTGGACTAGAACACTAGGTAGGCTACAAGGATTGGCTTGCCAAACTCAAGAATGACGTTTCCTATGTTGTAAGAAATGGTCCCATAAGATGGCTTCTGTAACTGCCACATGCAATGGCTGACCCAAATAAATATTTGTAATGTTAAGTCGTGAATTAGTTTGAATCCTATTCTTCTAATCGCTCTGTGGACTCTCACATACTTTTTTATGACCGTCCGATCTTTTCATGTGTCACCCTTTAATTTCGCTATTTTTTGGATGTAAACATTGCCCCCTCGACGTATTAGAATTTTCATTCAATCACTGATTCGTCTCGGTCTCTTTAGAAACAAAAACGTTGCGAACGTTTTGACCATTTTAAAATGATATTTTGATCCTTGCTTGGATAATCTAAATAGCTCATGACCCATTTGAATGTTGTTCGCCCAGAATCGAGGCCTAGAATGGTTCCTTTACAATTTCGGGGAAGCCGGGGTTGATGCCGTTGCTTCTCATGATGATGCCTAGTTCTCCTATCTTCACCCTTGAGACCTACATTTTGGCCTAGGGCTAACTTGTGGTGCCAATGCTCATGGCGGCATTAAAGTCTACATGCCCTATTAGTTTGCTCACCAATTCGGCCTAGTACAACAAATTTCTTATCCTTTTGCTTGCACTCGCAATGTTGATTGCGTCAACCTGCCAAACATGATTTATTTGAATGAAAGGGAAGTCATCCAACACTACTCTCTTGCCCATTGCTCTTTTCGGATGACCTCCTTTACTGAGTCAGTTGACGTTTCAAAGGTTGCCAAGGCTTGGTGGAGGCGGTACGTCTCGCGGCAATTTGATCATGACACAACCACTGTTCTTATGCACATGAACTTCCCATCACAAGTTCAATCCTCTTCGAAGGCCAGTCCGATCAAGACTTTCCCTCTTGCTGTTATTCCACCTTGGGAAGTTGACCATGATCCCACAACCTCTGTAGTTCTGGCTTCTTCAACACGGCCACGCCACAAGGACAAGTGACGACGCTCTTCCATAACGTCTCATATCTATTTCTCACACTCATGTTGAAGACAGACAAGATGTTGAAGATGATGCTCTCTTAGTGTGTCGTGTTTGTCAGTGTGAATGCACTCCTCCTTTTGCAAACCCTTCCATCAGTGTGGGGCCCTCTCAAGATGCCATCTTCAAAAACCTCGAGCCCCTCGGTCTAGCCACCATTCTCATTTCCATGGCCTCTTCTATGGTCATAACTGACTTGGCACCGCTAGCACCCTCTTTCGATAATATGGCCATTGATGCGGCCAACAACATTGAAGTTGTGGACCTTGAGAGCGAAGAAAGTTTGGCCCCTAGGCAAGAACTTCTTGATTCTCTAGAAGGCCAAATACTCTTGAGGCTGCTAAAATGGTCCAGGTCGTGTCCCCAACTTAGTCCGCTGCTACCACCTTGGTTGTTCTTCCTTCTTGTGATGCTAACTTATCTTTTATCTTAGCATCTCTGAAAACTTGCTCCATCTTCGAACCTGTCTCCTTTCAACAGTCAAGACTAATTCTGGACCGTGATTTTGAAAACCATCAAGGGATGGTAATAATAGTCCTTATTGGCCATCCTGTTATTTTGGTGGATGAAATAAACCTTCTTGAGAAACGGCTTCAATCGGTTAGAGCCCTTTCTGCCTCTCCTTTTCTTGTTGAAGAATACTTTCTAGCGCTAGTTTGCCTAGCCAACGAACTTCCAGCTCTCCTTTAGGAAATGGGGTTGCTATATCAAAAGCGATAAGATTGTATTGCTATCATCCATGACCAACGAGAGCGGCTAGTTAACTTGAATCATCACATCCAAATTTTCTCCACCCGCTCGAGCCTCTTCGAATCCCTTCCTTAGAGGTTGGCTGAGGTAGACCGCAAGATCGCCGAGCTTGAGGCTAAACATGCAATACTTTTGGAGGAATTTGCGTCCTATCAAGAGCATTTAGAAGAACTTAAGGTCACTGCAGTGAATGCCACAACCTTTTGTAGATGCGGGCTTGGCCCCTGTTGAGTTTGTTTCGGCCAAATTATAGACCATGAATAGGTCATTGTACCAACTAGAAATTCATATTTTTGATCTTGTAAAGTTCCTAGAAAGATAATAAATGAAAAATATAAATGGACTATTTTGCCCTTTACTTCTTCATTCATGTCTATCCTTTCATTGCTTTGGTGATGGTTGACATGGCTAGTAATTGAATGACATTAATTTCCACTTATATCACATTTCTGTCATTTGATTCGTGTGCGTGCATTTTAGTCTTTGATTTTCGTTCGGAGTGACGATTCATTCTCCTCATTAAATTTTCATAAATGCTGACAATTTTTGAGGTAAGGCCATTAAAGTATTCAACTCTTCTATGACCTATAAATGCTGAAGGACATAGGTTTTTTTCCAAAGTATACTAGACTTACAAATGTCTTCTTCCTTGTGCAATATGAATGCTATTCTTTCTGAACCTCCTGAACCAAAAGAGAGGAAGTTGGATGATAACTTCGTTAACCTTCAAACTCTTTCCTCCTTCGATCTTAGCCATAACCTTTGCTATGTACTTTGCCTTTCACATCCACAATTCATTTTACCAACCTACTTCGTGTTCTTTCTTCAGATGGACACTTCACTTCAACTACATCCTTGGGTCATTTTATAGATCCTTGTCTTGGAGGTAAGGCAACATGGGTTGACAATATGCACTTGTTGAAGTTGGAAGAAGATACTACACCTAACTTCTGGTGCGTCTGACAGCCGCATTCTGTCTTGTTCCTTTGATCCTTAGATTGACCATGGGATAAGTCTTGGCATCACTTTTGGGGGAAAAAAAAAGTTGGGGACAACTGGCATGTTAAAGGAGATTCTGGCTAGGAGACGCTCGTGTCAAAGGTCTATTCTCTGCCTCCGACAACTCAACTTTCTTCTGCTCTTTTTTTTTTTGTCTCCATAACTGTTAGTTGTCATCTACAAACTTAAGATGACAAGCCTTTAGAATTAGATTAATCTGACGCAACTCTTATGCAACACTTTTTATGTTTATGTATCATGCAAATTGTATTCACTGAAATTGTACAAACTTCTATGAATAAAATTTATATTGTTGTTCGCTCTTTTTCATTTTCCTTGTTGCATTTCTACGACTATTAAATAAATGGTAGAACAATTTCTTTATTGGCCGTTGGCCTACCCTAGGCCATTGGCTATGACCTCTTAGCTTAATCTTACTCACATTCTGCAGCCTCCTATACCGTTTAGGCCTTCAAGAACTATCCATTAATGGATTGTAGATGGCGTTCTCCATCCAAATCTTTGGTGGTAAACACCACCTTTTTTTTACTTCAAGGACTTCAAATGGTCCTTCTCAATTGGCTGACCATTTGCTGATCCTTGGATCATTTAGTCCTAAAGACAACTTTGATTTCCAATCTAAGTCATCTACGCTGAATCTCCTATATCTGACCCTCTTGTTGTACGCCCTGGCTGCTCTGAGTTTTTCCACCTTAATGGAATCCAAAGCACCCAATCGCACTTGTAAACCCCCATATGTTTATATTAATATAGTGACGTAATTATTTAGTAATTCTTATAT